AGTTGCTCCATGTTTATTCGATTCCTTGCTTTTGTTTTTATTGTCACCATTGTCGAAATCCACTTTCACACCCACGAGTTGTTGCGAACGCGATCAATATACTCGGTGCGCTTTTCGAAAGCAATGTATACTTCCCACCTATGTTTGCCCAAAATACTGCTGATTGTCTGCTTTGGAAATCTATTTGCAATGTGTAGTCTTCGTGAATTTCTAGGAATGGTGTTTTGGCTTCGATTTCAGTATCTGGAAACATCCCTTCACTCACTGAAAACGTCTTAGTACCTAGGCATTAACTTGGCAATTTCCCAAAGCAAGAAAATATTTTCTGCTAGAAGGTACCATTGATGCTAGGTGGAGAGCTAGTTGATCTATGAATGTGTATTTTACATTTCTTCCAACCAGCACTATTGTCAGTTTTGGGCACATCGAAACATCGCCAACACCAGTTTACATTTTGCGGAGAAAACTGCCAACCCTATCATGAGCAGTTAAAATATTTGTCATATTTCCTTGTAAGCTGAGCTTCGGCGCATTTATTTATCCGAAGTAATCCGCACGATTTGTTTGTTTAGAAACAAACACATTGTCTGTTAATACTGCGTGTAATCCGTTCTCCTTACCCCTAGCTCTTTCCTTTCAAGGAACATAGCTGTTTCTTCTCGAAGCTAGAGCTCTCGGTGCAACACTTTGCCACGTGATAACCAACGCACTTCTGTACGCAATAACATCACGTCAAATCTGTCTTCAAATTCATTGCACAACTCTTTGAAAACTCTTGTTTGTCGCACTACCGCAGATGACATTTACTATTTTCACTTTCTTGGTTAACGCGTCCAGCAAAGCAAGTGGAAGAGTTTGCACTGCTAAAGCATAAATATGTATGTCGCAGTGGCTAAAGTAGTGTGGGGAGCAAATTGTTTGACTAATGTTTAGAATCCGGAACGAACGCCCAACATGGTAGGTGCTCACCAACTTCGACCAATGCAGCTCCATTTCCTCGACAAAATCCGTCACTGTTCATATGACATCTTCGCCACGAGTAGTTGTGCACAATAATTTTGAGAACAATTGCTCTTCTTTGAAGCCGTCGGCTTTTATGTACCGCACATAAGCAAGTAGCTAGGAGCAAGATGCAACGTCAGTCGACTCATCTAACCGTAGTGCGACAAAAGGACTTGACTTTATTTCACTGAGCACCGTGTCCGAAATAATTGTGCTCATGTCCTAGCTGCGACTTTTGATGGTGGTTTTAGAAAGTGAGCTTAATGGCATATACAACGCAAGGTTTGATGTGATCCTATAGTATGCAGTTTCTTGTTTTCGGCGATTCGAAATGTGGTGCTGTACGAAGCATTAAAGCCAGCTTCAGTTAACTGAAAGGATCCCAATGTATCCAGGCGCAAACAATTCAGCGCAACTTCTTTCCGCTTGAACACGGTAATATAATTTCATACGAACTGAGAATGACTTCGTCAAAGCGTGTGCTGGGTTTCATGCTCTCCGCCGTGAGCACTTTGCTGCACAAAACACATGGCGGTTTCTCAACATTTTATCGACAAAATTAGTGATGCCCCAATGCAGAAAAGCTTCTCTGTCGGACCGCTTTTTCCAGAGAACATGGTCTTTGCAAAATATTATACAGCTGTGTCATATATACCGATAAGCTCACTGTTATCGATTTTAAAAACCATCGAAATGATTCACACACCTGACATGGCTTCTGGTCAAAAACAACTGTGGTTGAATGTGATCGACCCAGCCCCTAATGATCACTCGCGTCCAATCTGCTCTAGCTGCCTTGGTTGTGTGATTCCAAACGTAATGCTTTTGTGCACTTCGAAACGCTTGCTGTCTTTCCGATTCAAGGCGTCTTATGGCCCTTTCGAGTGTGATTCCTGATCAAGCATGAAATGATGTCAGTGGTTTCTCGTGTTGCATTTCTCCATTCCAAATCATTCCTGCGTGATAGTTTCCCACCAACACTCAGTAAGCAGTAATCGCCCGTTTTGATCCTTCTAAATAGTAAACATTCGCTCTCTACTTTACCTGCTCGGCTAACCTATGCTCCAATATTAGTGTTCATTGGAGTCTGTAATTCGCCCCACCGAACGACGGCCTGACTCAAAAAATTAACGATAGACACAGCAAGCGATAGATACATCATCTATAGTCTGTAGTCGCAGTGACTAAGTAGTCACTGATGGCTAATCAATAGGTAGGTAGTTACGTATTTTGCTACAGATGAATTTGTTATTAAGCTTGTTTTGCGACTGACTGATGACTAATATTCACCCCCCGCTCTTTAAAGTATCATTTTACCCATTTGGGGTAATTACCTCGGTTTCAGAACCCCTGCACAGTCGTTTTGCTAACTTTTCTTGCAAGATGAACCTAGCCATTTTGACTGCACATGGCCCGACAGATTTCTTGGCTATTGTGTGAGGTTCTTTTGTCAGCGCAATAAATAAATATGTATGATGCTTCAGTAGCCTTTTCATTTACAGTCTGAGACGCATGAAGTATATACCTTTGGGTGTTCAAAGTTCATATCGCCTGATTTCAAAATACTCCTCTTTATGTTTTTACAGTCCGCATGCTTTTTCCCAAATGCCACTGCACTCTACACACACCACTTTGTTATATAAGACTCCATATCTAGAAAAGGAAGCTAAATGTCGTCGTATTTACGCCACTTACATACTGGTACAGAGGCTCTGGTAGACACAGATTTATGTTGCTTTGCATCAGGTAGTACAGGTAAATCGAAAATCTCAGTATTTTGCATCATCAGAAGGCACAATAGATGGCCCAGCTATTACTACATTTGAATTCTTGACATATTTATCAATGTTCCTGACTTCATCCAACTGTCTCTGTTGATGTTATACGTACATATGCTTAAATGTGAATGAATAATTCTACACAACAGTGGGGAACACATCTAAAGTTGATTTCTATGAAGCGTTGAATTTCGAATGAAGTGTAAACGAATCACTACAACCACTCTTTGTAACCTCGCAGGGATAGTTTCTCTCCAGTTCCCAACGTCAATTAATTACACTTGTAAAACACCGAAATATCCACACTTTCCTTTCTGGCTTCCCTTTGTGGGATTACACCAACGAGTTCAACATTTCAAATTACCCACTTAAGAGGCTAACAACTTTCGAAATGACCACAAAAAGGGCCTTATCTCATTATTTGCTTATCTCCTCCAGGTGGACATAGTCTGTTATGTGATCTTATGTGGACGTAGAATTACCAATCCACGCTCTATCCATAGCATCAGGCAGCTTACTCTACTCACATCTTAAGTCTCACGCCAACCAAGGTTCCTTCTTGAAAGGAGTGGGATTTACATGAGCCATTCACAAGACTAATGTAGACCGTCAGATAAGATTTAACCAATGTTCACTGCAGGTTTGTCATCGAGCAATAAAATCAAACGATCACGTCTAGAAAACTTTTTAACGGAATTGTAACCTTTCGATAACTCCCGCAGACCTCCTGAAAATAACCCGCGGATCACACTATGAGAAATACTGCACTAGACACTGCGCATGAAATCGACCTTGCCAATGTAGAGATTGTTATGTTAATGGCTGAGGTTGTGAAAATCACCAGGACTAACAACAGTGTGTAAAGAACTGATGGGTTAGAGCTGTCAAGTACGTGATCGACAGTCTTGATTAGATCAGTTTGAAGAGCATCGGTGAAAGGATGCAACTTCGATGGTAAACATCAAACCATTCTCATTTCCATCACTGACTAGAATTGATGTGTGATGGCTCCGTAACATGAACCACTTGGAACGCTCCCATTCTGAATGTACTACTCGACGTGACACTTTGACCTCCAACGGGGATTGCCTGCTCAACATACCCCTCCTCTACCGCGATTCTCCTGCTAGTTTGTTGTAAGTGCTACGCCAATTATGTGCTGGCTCACTTGGCCCCACGAAATTTTCATGTCAAAAACGAAACGTTGACCAACGAACAGACCAACAGCTTGTCTTCAACTACTTTTCGTTATTTTACTACGTCCACTAAACGTGGATTTGATCGGACGTGATATGCCACTCAGCTCATCTGTTTGGCCTATCCAGTACTCTTAAGTAAGCCAAGACGATGGACACATCGAACTTCTGGAATATGGGTTATTGCTACTAGTTCCTTTGGTGGGCCAAAACTGATTGTATGGTTCTCACAAACACTCGTAACAGCCTGCTTGCATGTCCATTAATGCTAACCATCCTGGGTTGATTTACGGTCCACCGGATTTCCGGCAGTGGACCAGTTCGACTCATCACACATTTCTTTTGCGTAGATAGACCGTAGTCCCAATGTCACCATCATTTAAGACCCTATTGTCTTGTTCCTCACCCTGCTACCCACAGTAATAGGCACATCTGGACCATGGGTAGTATAATCATGTGTTGATTTGTTAATGGAGTTTAGTAATTTAAATCGTTCACAGTTCCATCAGCAGCCGAGGAGCGCGTCTCACTTTCATCGGTGTCTCAATTTTTACAATCAAAATATCAAGTCGGATGAACAAACTATCAAAATGCTATCACCAAACAATATTTATAGCCGGGGGACACTCTGCATCGAGCGCTGCTGTTTCACATGTTAAGAGATACGCTATAGTTGCGTGGTTTTCATATCTCCCGCCCATGGAATCAACCGTGTTCCATTTACCCAAATAATGTTAAGCAATTGAAACAGGCGTTGTGATTTCATTGACTAGCGTATACCATGAAGTGTAAAATGGTTGTCCCACTTTTGTTGTCTCTAGCAAACTGCTTACTGCTGCCCCGCAGTCCAATCAGGTTTCCTTGTAATATTCCTTCGGTTACTCGCAAGGACTCTAACACATCTGACTGCATTATGTACTGTCACATTTTCTGTCCGTTCACACGGCAATAGACCCTCATAGGAGCCTTCTCCTATTCGTGTTGATTGATCCGACGGTGCGTACATTCCATCTTTCATTTACAGTTAGAAGCATTCGAAACAAGCCGAGATATTTTGCGCACGAGCTGAGGAAATCAATGGAAGGTGCTGGAACGGATGACAAAAAGCTCATTCGCATTGTCGTTTCACGCGCTGAAGTTGATATGGGCGATATAAAACGGGAGTTTATGAAGCAATACGGGAAACCACTGGCAACTTGGATAACAGTAAGTCCACTAATGTGCTGCGCATTAATCAACCGCGTAAAGCAGATCTCATCCATGCGACTTTTAAAATACGGACTGGAAGGTAATACTTTCTAGACATGTTCATGCTGTCTACTTTCGACATTTCCTTACCGGGCCGAAAGTGCACTTGCAGAGCGCAACGGCTTAGCTTTAGAAGACAACTGTTTGGTCCATTAAACAATACTCATGTGTATGATGGGCGATATTTTGACAAATCAGTTTGTTATTGTACATTCTCCCCAGGATGTGCACTTAGATTCTGTTCCCGTCACCAGTGCATGGAATAGCTGTAACTAATAATAATAGTAGTATTACTAATACATGTAGCAGTAATACCGCTAGCCCTCAGTCAATACGGTACCACATAGAGAATGCTGCAGCTTGGGTACCAAGTCACGGTGTCTGACTTACACCGGACGGTGAACGACTCCTTGAAATACGCAATTCATATCAGCTTGTTGGGAACAATGGTCGGTTTTGAGGTATGCGTGTTAAAATTGCCCTTCAAAAGTTGTTGGAAAGTTTCAGTGTGGCTTACCGCCATCCTTGCACTGCCGACCGGTTTTCTTTTCGTCGTGACTGATCAGACAAAAATGGCCAGATCACTACCTATCTCTTCACAACTAATAATGTTCACCAGGTCGTAAGGGTCTCCTATTAACGCCTGGTGGAATGACGAACACACTCGTAGAATGCAGCGATTTGAGCGTTAAACACCGAAAACCGTTCTTTAAGTCCGGAATTTCCCGAAAGATCTTGTTCTTTCCTAGTCCATAAACGATGGGGTCTATTCTGTACTCCGGAGAACACAAGGACATTAGCTGTTGGATGACGCTTGCCGCAATTTCAGCTAGTGGACATTTCGAGACGCTTTAGGTGCTCAACCGATTTAAGATATATAAAGTGCTGTTAGGTTCACTGGGTTCCACGGTCTTCTCTCTGTTGGATAAGTACCACATCTGCGAACATATTGCTTGGTCTTTACTGGTGCCCGATTCCTCTCCCTGCACGTTTACAAGCAGCAGGCCACTTAACTCTACAAGCTGTATGCAGTCCCGCCGTCCATCTCTGGTTCTTTATGTACTCCGTCGGTCGCATAGTGTGTGTGGATGAAATAATCTCTAGTGTCAACAGCAGCGATGACCTCGATTTCAGACTGTGTCCAGTCTGCAAATACAACATGGGACACCTCCTTTTGTTGCATATCTTAGGTACACCCATTAATCCATCGTTTAACGCGGTAAAAACAATAAAAGCAAGCTAACCAGACGCGACGATCACTGAGTCCGAGTAATATGGGAACGTCAAACCAAGATTTCTTATTGAATAACTTGTATATTCATCTCATACGTAAAGCCCATGATAGAATCCGGGGGTTGGGGCACGATGCTTCAGTGTTCTCAAGGATGTTACTGTTCGGATGAGTGGATCCGCCGGATCCTGTGTCCTCGTACTTCCCTTTATTTACTGTACAAGTAACTGCCGCTAATTTCTTTAATACCAATTTTCTCACAATTTCATTCGAACACAGGATGATACCACCGGAGATTACAAACGTATGCTACTGGCGTTGGTTGGCGATTAATACTACGGCTCTGGTTGCAATGCATATTTTGCACCAATGACACACCATGTCACTTCGCTTGTGATGTGTGTGAACTTGCTTTTCTTATCTTTAATTTGGTTTATTCCTTTTGCTTCGCTGATATTCTGTTAGCCTGTCCTGTGTTCTTATACACATTGCCGACCATGAATTTGTATTCTGTACGTAACACCAAGTGTAACTTGAAGATCCCGCTTGTCTCACTTCAACAATGTTGTCATCTTACGGAGTATTACATCGTTTACCAGCCACAGACACCAAAAATAGACAAGCGGCGTTTGCTCCCCAGGATGTACGCATTTGCGACAGCAACAACTTGCTGGTGTGTGCAATACTGTGCTGCATCTTTACTGAGGGACCTAGAACCAACCAAGTCCAATACCCGAGCGATCGAAGCCGTGTGGCTCGAACCAGGATCGCTTTTATGGATTACATAAAATTCCCGATACTTACGTTCCATTACTGCAATCCTCGGCGTGGCTGACTCCGCCATTCACCAAATTGCCGAATAATTTAGGTAATACCCCAAACAATTGTTCAGGGTAATTGTATCCCACACAATATGATGCTTTCGAAGTTATTAAGAAGGTTTGAAAACGGTGTGATAAGGAAGTCGAAGTCGTTTTTGACGCTTGTATAAGTTTTCTGAATACCGTCTTTCCTGATTCATGTGTCAGATCTTTACGAAAGTCTGTCGAAAACAACCTGAACACCAATATCCAGTGAAATATATGGAATATATAGTTGTACTTTGTGCTCTCAACACTCAGTTCATGATTAACCTTATTGATCTTACTAACAAATGGACCCCCTAGTTTCCAAACTTTGTGCCCATATATTTTAATCCGGGCATACTTAGACTCCTACCACAGACACATAGGAGAGGCGTTTTCATGATGAGTCGCTAAACGTCGCAGGCCAGCATGGCAGTGGAATATGAATCAATCTATGTTACAGCTAATCCATTTGTCTCAGTGAGTTTGCCATTCGCCGTGCCTTACTGACGCGCCCTGAAATGATGGAACGACGGCCCGAATCTTTTCTTGGACCCTAGTGGCTGCCAACTGACAGTAGCCATGCTAAACCGCATGTGGAATTTATCCAACTTCCAGCTGAACCACTGACCAAAAGACGGTGATTTCTCAGGCTAACTTATGATGCTATCGACTTTTAACGGTTCAGAGAAGGAACTTATGGATCTTATGACCGATGCTGTCCTCCATAGGCAGGAAATGCGCATCACGACATATTGCAAAGGGTTAATTGGCCACAGTGACTGACACCATCCGCAGTGACCAGTAGTCCTGGTTACCATCGATAAGAAGACGAATCATGGGGTATATCCGCTAACTACGTATAGAGAGTGCATACCCCCGAAGAGCCTTCAAGGGAAGAAACGGCTGTCCAGTGCTCTGCTAAGTGCGCCACGTTTGTCTGAGTACTCGTTTTTGAAGCGTTTGTAGTTTGTACTTTTGCATATCCACTACATACCATTATGAAAGTCTATAGGAGGGCAGAGTGACTGCTACGTTAGCCACTACTGTAGCATGATAACGAGACTGCGCAGTGGGAATCGACACGGTCAGGACAGTCTATGATGTTGTGAAACTGGTATGGTTCCACATAGTTTCCCTGAGCTCGGCAACACACATACCATGCAGCGATACAAAATACGCGAGTAACACAAGAGTTCTCCTCATGGGTGTAGCTGTTATATGTCAACACAAAATGCACAAACTCTCCCTAACGTTCCGCAGAGACACGGTTGTACCTATCCTTGCAAGCCACACTGGTCTCAACAGAGCTCTCCTCAGTGGCACTACCATAACACAGAAACGCAGGTGCCTACTGGTATTCTTATTTCTCTAAACTTTATGCCTTACGCTCTTATGCTTTCGAGTTATAAGTACGATCGAATAGAAAACACGTGTGCCTCTGGCTGTCATTAAACAGAGTCTATTCTTTCTTTTCTTACTGTTGAGCGAAATCGTGCGGAGGTATTAGTAGGGTCTCCATCTCAACTAGCCTGTGCACACATCAGATGACCAGGTCCCATCAACTTAATTAGCTACTCTATGCGTGGCATACGATCGGAGAAAAAAGTAATTCGTTTCCATGCAGACAGTTGGACTAACTGAGAAGTTTAGAACACATGAACTTTATTAGTTTTTGTTCGCGATCTACGAATCAACTACCTATCACATCATATCGTCAGAATCTATGTCCATGTCCGTTTCTAGACACTGACCAGTAGCGCCTCGCGAGTCAAAACGAAAACCTGGACAGCTTCAAAAATCTCCTACTCCTGAGCCATGCTTGCCGGTATCCGGTTCTGGATTTGCCTGCCACTGCGACCCTATAGGACAGACACTGGACTCCTGTGCCGACTGAGGGGTCATAGGTAGCTTGCACTGCACCACCCACAACTTCATCCACACACCTCATATTCAGTGTGACAGCTTTCCACTGGATATTCTCCGTTGCACAATCATTTATCACGGGTAAAAAAGCAGTTACTTGACAGGTCCCGCAGGATAGTAGGGGTAAGAGTAAAATATCGAAATATATGTGAGTTACCTTTTTAAGCGTCTTTCGAGCAAACGCGCCACTGAATAACAGTAGTGGAAAACGGCAATTGAATGCTAGTAACAAGAAACATGGGGGCAGTTATGTAGCTGATGTTCTCGGTGAGAAAAGCAAAAACAAGCATGCACGCTCATGTACCGCATCCGTAGGTCCATCTGGCATACAAATCCGGTATGAACGCATGGTTAATATATTCAAAAGTAGCGTAAGTTAGTTAACCACGTGCTGGAGGCCAAGGACAACATCTAAGCGTCATTTGCAATTAGCTGAGGTATGGAAGGAAACAGCTGAGTTTATGAGAGAGTTCGAGGGTTGGCAAATCCGAAGTGAAAAATAATTCCCGCCGGTATTCCAGACGACTGTATTGTTCACTCAGTTTTAAGCAGTTACCTCTGAGAGTGATGTGATGGCTGAGTTTCAACGGGTGACGGCATATGTGATTAGGGTCACTCAATATTTGGTACACTAATATGAGATGTCGGCACAGCTCTCAGTAGAGTTCACTGAGAACTCCCAGTGATTCCAGAATTTTCTTGTAGGACGATTTCGTATACCCTTGACGTTCTCGTAGACCTACGTTACCGGGTCCAGCACCTCAGGTCGTATGCTTATATTCCTTGCTGTTGTGCCTGTTAGAGCGCTACAATCCGTCTGGCTCGGGCTGTCATGTTCAGCTTGCGTTGAGAGCACCTGCTTCACTCTCCGTTCACTCATCTGATGTCGGCTCTGCACTCTCAACTCGCCACTCGACATTGCTTACTTCGTCGTCTGTCATGGCTCGTTAGCGAGTGTACGCTGCTCGCTCACTGCTGTCCTGGCAAATTCTGCTCCCCTTTGTCTGCGATCATGTTGCCGTTCGCTGATGCTACACAGAATGAATTCAGTCCTTCCCCTTTTGCAGGCGTGTCAGTGGCCACCTCGGCCAGACAGTGTTTCCTGACTTCCTGTCATCTGGTTCCGTTCCGATTACGTACATCCGAATTCCCACTTACGAAATAGACAGTAGAATTTAATCTACACACCACGTTGCAAAAGCAGATTATAATTCAGTCATCATATCCTTGCCGCAACAATAGCTGCGTTATTTAACATCTCGCAACTTGGGATGCACTTGGATGGAACTATTGTTGCCACTGATATTAGTCTGATTCCTGAGTTTCACAGAAGCCTAGTGGGAGGAAATGGGTTTTATGGAAATTGTAGCAAATGGGCTACTGGTAAAGAGCTCGGAAATGGCTGGGCGGCCTGGAGTAATGGCGAGGTGGTAGCTTATCTTGTTTACATTGTCACTGTTAATGAGACACCAAGCGTTGTGGATTTGGCTTGCAGTGGGGTTCGGTGGAGTTGCCTTAGGCATAAATTTTGCGATACTTGTTTGTACTGAAGGGAGATTGGTGCTTAATGATTGCCCAACCATTACTTCCAACCTTTCGCACTCCTGGCACATTACAATCATGATCTTAACTTCGGGATGGCATTACACCACACAGAACCAAAATATGTCTGACCTGCTGTTATGTAGCCTCACCGCGCTGGGCTTCATGTTCAGGTATTTGGAAAGAAAATGAGTGGTGCAGTTAGAAGAGGCAAGTCCTATATTATTTTATTGCGCATTCCACAGGCGCGTTTAAACAGAGCGGATCGGCCACTCGCGCCTGTAGGGTCACGTGGACTTGGGATTGACGACTAGTTCACGTCGGAAACTTAGTGGCCAGCTTCATCTTTTCGCACCCAAAGTCAGTTTTCCGAGACACATGGCTGTCTCACTCTTTCCCCCGGCCGCGCAGATTGCCTGATTCAGCGATCAGTGGTCGCGCGGTCATGTGGACACACCTACAAGAAGGCATGCATTGATCGCCTCGCGTTACGCGACAAGGCAGGCAGGGTGCTGCAAAGCAGGAATTTCACAGCGATGTTTGCTGGAGGGCCAATACAAAATATTCCATAGCATTGTTATGATGCGGCCCGAAGAGATAGTTGCCGGGTCGTTTCAGACACCACAGCTTCTTCCGAAAAATACCAAACTTATCCCAGAACAACGCAAAAGTGAGGTGGGGTAGACCGGGGCAGAAAGTAACGGGGCAAGTTGAAACAAAGCTTTTTCGGTATATGAACCGACACATGCACCGTTTGTTTTCTACACCGAACATGCGACTGCGCGAGGCAGAAGCTTTCACCTTACTAGCAAGGCGGGATTTGTCATATCTGGATAGAAAGACAACATTTTCATTTTGCAGGCTTGGTGAGTGAAATTTTGCATTCTTTTATTTCATGTCATAGACATTTATTATCAGTCGATTAGTTCAAGCTTTTAAAGTGACTATCGTCATCCATTTTCCTTCAAAAATCTGCGAAATGTCGTGTTGTGTGTGCGCTTGTCATGTAACGCCAAGTTGTTTTCTGACCGAGGTAGGGGTGGAGCACATTGTAACATGTAAGGCGGGACACGTTGTGACATAAATGTATTTATTGCAAAACAGTGAATAACCTAGTGCCAGCTTTTTTCAGAAGTGAAAATGGTGAGACACTACAAAAGCAGGAAATGTACTCAGCAACAGTTTCA